AAACGGGCAGACGGCAGGAGGCAGGCAACGTATGCAAACGTGGCCGGCGGGGGTGGGGTAGCCAAACGCCAAGCAACGGGACGCGAAGCGGCAGCCGAAGAGGACACCGAAGAGAATCTAGTAATAATCATAATAATGTAAGTTCTGTAATAATAGGCTCATTTACATCCTCGGTGTACATTGGGGAGTACATCAGGGAATGAATTGGGGTCTGCAAAGGGGCTTGCGGGGGGTCTCGAGGGTGCTGTCTTGTTTTCGGCGACACTACTGAACAGAGTCAGGAATGGCCACGAGCTCCAATGCTTTGTCGGGAACCCGACAACATTCAGAGGCTTCGCGCTTCGCACGACTACGCTGCAATGGCAGCGGTAGCGGCGCCACCCATCAGCGACGACCCCCCGCAGCGCGACTCATTCACACCAAGCAGCAAACGAAACGGAAAGCACCAAATCGCAATGGGACAAAGTAAACTCTATGTATGTACAATTGGAATGCAGGCATCCGCATAAGACTCGCTTATCGTGTGTAGAAGATAACAATGCAATGTCAATGATGATGAGCAGCATTCACCCATACCTTAGATGTAATATAGTTAAGCTACAGCCATCAAGTTGAGCTTCGTTTCACTTCTAGCCGCCCAGACAGGACCGGCAGCTCCCTCGGAGCCGCTGGTCGACGAAGCGTGTGAAGTCCATGATCACAGTAGGCTTAGGTCAGGGCTAAAGTTCGAAGGAGGAGACAAAGAGAGTTGATAGAATGGGACCTACTACGCAGGACGCTCACCATATACAGTGCAACAGTGGCTTTTTTGTCAGGGGAATAAGAATAGCTATCACTGCTGTACCGTGGGTAACTGTACGTACTTACTCAAAAATGAAGCTGTTGAATTAACTGTTAACTGAGATACTGATAATAGAAATATGCATAAGTGCCTATTAAACTAAAAAATAATGTCGAAATTTACAAAAACCCTACATCAACTGGTAACCCAATTGCGAATCCATCTAGATTTATCGTTGTGATAACTTTGTATCTGTTTATTTGCCCGACACTCGTTGGCTTTTCGACTGGAATGATTTTTAGCGCGCCATTAGAGATTTATCAAAAAAATGCCTATTCTTTATTTTATAGAACATAATGTAAATTTGAGCTAATTGCGCATTTTTTTTTTATGAACCTTGAGAACTTTTCAAAGGTTTTTGTTGGGAAGTTGCTTACTTATTTCGTTAGTCACAATATTAAATGAAGATATGGAGAGAAATCATTAATTTTTACATATTTACAATTTAATTGTGAATTGGTGATTTTTGCCCAAAGGGTTCATAGTTAATGAAATATTGCTAACTCCTTGCTATTGTATTAATACCTTTCTTGGAGGCAGTCCCTTTCTCCCATAAAGGGCGTAATATTAATTTGATTAATTTACGAAGTTGTTGATAAAATCTCTTACACATATCTATAAAAAAGGTTGTGGAAGTCAAGGTAAGTTGTTTTAGTGGGAGTTTTATCTAAATGTCTTTTTGTGACAAAACAGCAGCTGAATGTCTGTGCAAAGGTCCATATAAAGGGATTGCTCTTGACGAGCTAAATAAAAATGCTATGTATGTTCCTGCACCTAAATGTAAGTTTTCAAATGAAAAATGCAGTTTATAGGCTGAACATTTAATGCAGCGATTTATGTGGCAAGGACTCGATAGACCTCGACGAGCTGCCTTACATGTGTTTATCTATCAAATGTGTTTGTGTGGCAATAAAGCGAAACTTTGGTCCGAAGTATTCTTAAGCGAACTTTTGAAGTCGGTAAATTGTAGCGGCCGACATGGCAAACAGTTTGCTAAAACAAACATTTTTCAGAGGTTAAGATGTTAGAAACACTTTTCCTATGTAATGTCTTGTTCTACTGCTACTTACCCGATATTTTACGCCACCCGATAGATCTCGACGAGCCGAGTGAAGCAGCTGAACTGATACTTCAGTGTGAAAAATAGGTAAAATTTTAATTTGGTAGCTTTGACGATTTCTTTGTATGGAAGCATATATATAGAGGGGTCGTTCTTCGAAAGCACATATATTCAGTCTCCGGCTATTTTTGTATTAAAATGGTGAAAATAGTATTGATTAGTATAGCTTCAAACTGTGAGTGAATTTCTAATAAATTTCTAATAAGAAATGTCTACTGAACGGGATGTAGTCGATCTTCGTGAAAAAACAATCTTTCATTCCTTTTCAGAGAAAAATACTATAAATGCTAAGAAATCATGCAAATATCTATTACAAAAAAAACTACTTCTTAATGACGTATCACAAAGAAAGTCCATACGCCAACCGATACATGTTTATATGTGTGTGTGTGTGTTCACTCAGCATAACTTATATATTCAGTATAACGTCATAAAAAAGAAACGGTAGAAACACCCAGAGTTTTGTAACATGTAATCAGTATTTATTTGGTGAATATTTTTTTTTTATAAACAAATGAAAAAACTTTCACCCAGGAATAGAACCTACATGTTAGTCTCTTGTACGATCGGAGGCAAACTGGACATGTAGGTTCCCCGCTTAAAGGTAGACGGACTATCGATTCAAGCGCGTTCCGGAGACAGAGTCTACTGGTTTTTCAAGCCCCGTAATCTCATTGTAGATATGTAGCATCTCATAACCTATACAAATTAAGAGTTGCATGAGCTCCTTAGTGAACGTACTAAAACAAGCAGATGAAGAAAAAATATATATGTGTAATACCAGTCAAATTATCTGGTTTTGAGCATGTGTGTTTAACCCATTGCGACTCAGTTCCTTTTTATTTACCGAAATTACGTTTACAGCAGTTTATGCTTCAATCATCTATATATGTTGAAGGTGACTGAGAGTCGCATTTCGCTACATATAGTGTTAGGTAAAGGCCCATGTTAGCCGGTTCTTGAATCTGAGAAGATATCGACGTGAATACCCGTTCCCCGGAGCTGTGCAACCCCAAAGACGCTATAATTAAAAGCAGTACTTATATGTGCCCTGCTATTGATAAGAATTCAATTAGGAATCCATACACGAATCAACATTTGTTTCAATAAATGTATATGATGATATTTTAGTTTCAAACCAATATGCCGATCAGGTGATAACGCTATTTGAGTTCTTAATTTGCGAACAGCCTACCCCCTACCCATTTTTCCCGTCCTTATAGAATTCTTGTCGTTCCCTCCCCCCAACTGATCTTCCAGGCCTACGACGCGCCCATGTAGCCTGCTTTCACCCTTTACCTTTCACTGCAACGCGCGGTTTATCGGCACTAGAACTTCTAAGACACTCTAACTGGATTGATGCTGTTTGCGGTTATCTCACAAGTAGAAAAGTGTCGCTGACAGCGGTGCTGTTAATAATGCTTACATCATAAAAACCAGTGACGCCAGTCTCGTCAATGATGCAATGCATCTTGGCCAGTCGACTTTGCCCACCTGTTTCGTGACCATCGAATATCAACTTAATTCGCCTATCATTCAACTAATTATCATTGCCCTATCGTTCATTTCGTCATACAAGAATATTTCGCTTTCTCTGTCCAATCACTTTCCTATTATCATTTCTTCAGCCATATTTAGCCTTCTGCTTCCTCCGTGTCCCCTAACTGCTTCTGTTCCATTTCGTCTTCTATATCCCTGGTTTCACATTCCCTCCCTCCGTCCCTCGAATTAGCACTATCGAAAACACACCCCCACTCCGCCACGGTCGAGCCACCAATTCTACTTGTGAACACAAACGTTCACCACGTCGTCGGCTAAACAGCGGCACTCTAAGCAATAGCAGCTGCCCATCAGCTGGATGACTGCCCCTCAGACTACGATGAGCACCGCTCGAACAGCACGGCTACGGGGATGGCAACGAGGACATTGACAACGACATGCAGCGACCGGCCGACCGACCCTCTGAACCTCAGAGAGTCGCTTCCTACTCTGTCTCTTTCTGCCTTCTGCTACAGCCCCCTGTCCCAACTCGACCGCCTGCTCGCGTTACCCCATGAAGCACAATTACCCTCGAAGGAAGCCGGGGAACACTACCACTTGGGAATGTGTAGTAAAGCAGAAGAGAGAGGGAGAGAGCGAGCGAGCGAGCTAGCTTCATCTGCGCTGAGCCCCCCTCCATTCTCTCCACCACGGACCAGCTTCCCGACCCTTGCGGCTGCGCCCCTTACAAATGAGGCTGGTCTAGCAGTTCGGAGATCTTCAGGGCTTCTAGGGCTACAGTGAGCAAGCGGCGGGAAGAGACTTTAGTGGTATGCGTCGAAAACGAAGAAAGTGCTGGGAAGCTATAGTGTGCGGTGAGCCACATATCTACGGTAAAGCACCTATAATTGCGATACAGTCTTTCTTGCTTCTGTGGTCGCAAGCAGCGATTGCTTCTAAGTAACTACTCGAAAGTACTAGGCGTCGCTACAGGTGGCGAGGGAAACTCTACACAAAACCCCCGCAGGCATGAGTATATAGCGGCATGCACAACAAATTTACGCGCACATGTCATGTGTGATAAACTGATAACTATATATAGACAAGCGGCTTGGTGAGGGGTGGAGCACAAGTGCAAGAAGAAGTAGCTTTCAACGGCTGTTGAGGGTGAACAACGTGTTTTAGCAATATATCATGTACTCTGCGTATGATCATGCATGTATGTATGTGTACTAAAGCGATTCGGCTTTTGTAGGCACTAGGTAGTCACAACTGGCACTCTTCCCCCTGAGGAAGCGAAGTTGTTTTCTCTTTCCCTTTTTACTTCGGCCTATCCTAGACTCTGTACAGGACAATATATGCTGCAATGAAGGCTTTTTCCGAGGTTGTCCTGAAAAGGCGAAAAGTGCCACTGACACGAACGCCGCCGTTGTCAAAACGGGACGAGAACAGAGTGGCCTTCTCGGTCAGAAACAGCCCAACGGACTGATGCTGTTTGTTAAGCAATTGCGGAAAGAAAACACACACACATATGACCCATATTGAGTTGAGCGTCAACTTTATTCAAACAAAGAAATCTAACCGACTACGTCTTTCCGCTGCCCACTCACCTACACGTAGCGTCTGTTGGTCATTCGCTATTCAGCCACTGTAGAGAAAGTGCAGCAAGGGTGGATTCGGTCGGATCAGACATTCAGCAATGTTTCTTTTCGGTCTTTGTCTTTTTCGCCCATATTCGTTCTCTCTTTCCTTATCTTCGTCAATAGATACATAGCTAATGGATTGCTTGGTAAGTGGCGATGTATAGATAGCAATGATCATTATTCGCTTATCATAGTTATCATTCTCATCAATGAATATATATATATATATACCTATCTATGGCGTTCATAACTGACACACGATGCAAATATCTCGATTTCATTATCGGTTATGTTATAATCTCAACGCCATAGTAAGGAGTACGAAACGAGGCTTGAGTCGTAGAAAGGTTTCGTTCTGCATGACTCTATGGTTGTGTATATTACGAGAGTGGGCCGTTTGCGTCCGCTATCCATTTCGTCCTATCGTAGTGAAACGAAAACGTCTCGGTAGGTTCGGTGAGAGGATTGACGCTGGTAACGAAATGGGTTGATTTTCTGAAATGGGCCACCACTGTGAGCTGTTTTTTATTGCACAATTGAATTTATTACACATCGAGAGGGGCGACAATACTTCTTGCATTTTGTTTGTAAATGGTTCGCTGTATGTGGAGAGATTATTTTAGACAAATATCAATCCCCGCCTGTATTATGCACAGCCTTGTATATTTCAATAGCTTTTAATTATACTAGTCGTTATTCCTGTTTGTGATATTATTAGCATCATTCGATATTATTCCTAGCGTTTTCTATACGGCGTTTTTATTATTACCACTACTTGTGAAAAAAAAAAAAAAAAAAAAAAAAAAAAAAAAAGCCTGAGCTATAGCTCGCTAATTGTTCTGTCGTAGGGACATTGCGCGTTTATACGAAACTATATGGCACCTCGCCATCAATCCAGCCTATTTACTATTTACTAGACTAGGTCAATCAATTACATTGTTTGTCTCTTATTGCTTTGGTACTGTATTAAAGGCGAGTCAACTGCAACATCTAACAGGTTATACGGTGAGACGACCCGCTCAATTGTACGAATCTCACCCCCTTAAACGCAATGAAATATCAGCCAAAAAATAAGCGAGATTTAAATACGAAATCCGTAGCAATAAGATCGAATTGATATACGCGCATACAAATATGCTCTCTTCTATATTTATCTAGATTTTCGGCGCCCGTACAAGATTTTTCTCGTTCTCCTTGTGTAGTTAATGGAAGACATTCGTTTGGGCTGGTTGGAGTTTGACCACGGTCAGCCGCAAGACGGTGCTGCTATAGTTTTTGCTGTAAGTTGCTTGCAACTTTTCAGTGTGCTCCGACTATGGATAAGACGTGAAGGTCTCAGTCAGACTCCTGTGAAGCTGTTGTCTCGTCCTGAGCCTGGCTGTGATGATTGTGATGATTATGATTTTTATTATTCGTGGTAATATTGTTGTTTGTCGTTGAAACTGCCGACTCTTTGAGCTTGTTCCGGAGATCGGTTACAGCCAGGGATGACGAGACGTCTTCAGTGTCTTCAGGCGATGGGGATATCGTAGCTGCAAGAAGCGAAAAACTCTGATCACTCTGATTGATTGCGAATGGGTCGTATAATCGATCCCTGACAAGACCACAGCGTATGGCTTAGAGACACTGCACACCACAGTTTGTAGATGCATCCTATGTAATTAGACAAGGTGAAAACCAGAAGTATCAGCTTTAGCTGAAATATCCTATCATTGATGTTTTTTTGGATTTTTTTTTTATTTTAAACTCAATTCCGAATCCTGTTAACCGAACACAAATTACTTTAATCAAACGTCATGGATTTAATTATTAAAGAAAAATTATGTAACTGATAGGTTTGAAGCAACCCGAAGAAAATCGAGGAGGCCTCGCCGAGTGTAGACGCTGCTGCTGTGTCAACGGTGAACAATCTTCTTAGGAAACACATCTTAAATAGTTCTTTCTCTCTTTCTGGCACTGTTTAATTTCTTTGAATTAGATCATATTTTAGATATTTTTCATTAGATAATTATAGGAATTATTTTGTAGGTATGTTATTGTTTGCAGCTAAATTCTTGATCTACGCTTTTAATTATACGACATTATCTATGTAACATGAAAGACCCTCATTTGCAGTTTTACTTATAGTAAAATCGTCTTAAAATCGATGAGATCTTTTATTAATGACACTTTTTCCTTTTTCAGCTGATTCTGCTTCTTCCTCAATAAGGCTTGACAGCATCACACTATATTAATGCAGATATCGCTTAGGGTAGGTCAGCTGCTCAAGCGGGCAATCTGAAGGTACCAAGCACAAATTCGATTTACGATCTTTCTTATATTGCTCTACAGTATTTTTTTTTACTCCGAGTTGAAATGTATATACACTCGGTTTCGAACTGTCTCACGCGTCCCGAATACAGTATGTACGTTACCACTAGGATTGAACAGTCACCACAGACGTTTATGCTAGTCATATGCAAACCCGAGGCTTGCTATCCGTTTCCTGCAGTAATTTTCAACTAACCTGGAGTTGTTGGCGTTTTTGTGCCAATTGGCGGAACCTGACAGCAGGGGCAAAGCGGATGCGGATGAGGAAAGCCCTTGAAAAAGGGCGATGATGGCGGGAGGTACATAGGCGGAAACGGAAAACGGGGAGCTCCGATGGAGACGCCGAGATTTTCGACAGCACTTTGCATCCTCCTAGATACAAAACAGAAGCAAGAGGAGCATTTCACGTTAGATAATACAAACATTAATTTGGAAGCTTTCGACAAAGTACTTTTTCAGTGATCTGCTAAGCCCGCTCTTTTGGCGAGCGCGAGCGCGAGCGCCAGTGTAGCGCCAGAAGTGTAGCCTAAACACACATTGTATTCTCTCATTTTCCCTATTTACGTACCCGTCGAACGCTGTAAACAGCGGATGTTGGTGATGTCGAAGAGCCGCGGCAAAAGACGTAAGAGCGTCTTTGAATAATGGGGCTGAAGTCATAGTGTTAATTGAGGGCATTGAACTGATAGGGTTGCTCATGGAGCTTATCGCCATTGACGGGCTGGGAGTGTCAGGTTTAGGGCCGTCTGAAGACGAAGGTCTATCATCGGCCATTTCCGGATCCAGGTCAGAGTCAGGGCTAGCCGGCGACCTCTTGCCCTCGACTGTTGTCGACTGTACTAAATCGGTGCTTAATCGATCTTTTTCCTCACGTTCCTTTCGAAGACGTTCAGCTTTACGCCACTTGGCGCGACGGTTCTGAAACCAAACCTGGAAAAAAAATTATAGCAAGTTTGCTTTCAGTCTTCTAGCTTACTCGTATGCGATACGTAGATAATCATGAGAGAAGTTCAAATGTCCCATGTAAAGTTTAATTGATTACGGAGGAAACGAGCTAAAAGGCCATATTTAGATACATAGCACGCAATACCTTAGTATATACTATTCGGTCTCAAAGTCGTGGCGTATCTGCTCGCAAAGTAACAAGCAAAACCTCTACTATATGGAAATAACAAGTGTTTGGTCTTGACAGCTGTAACTGATGTGAGCTTTAAAAGCAACCAAGTATTAGAGGTCATTTTGGCATTCTATTGTGCCACGGTACTTTGTTGGATCAAATTGTTGTATAATAATGAATGCTTCTGTGCATGCTAACGCATCTCCTTCACGCTAAGACCTTTAAATTCAGCGTTACAAAGATAATGGCTAGATCAAGCCACTTGAGTATCCAACTTTAGCGGCCGAACCTGGAGCAAAGACATAGCGCGTCTATGACCAACGCGAAAACAAAGGAAGACGAGTTTTAATTAATAAATGAGGCCAATCAATGAAAGCGCACTGCGAGGATGGAATTACTCAGTACTGATGGAAACTATCTGGCTAGAGTATCCTGATCCTTCTGTCGGTAGACGGAGCTATTCGATCGTGCGGGACGGCAGCTAGTTGTGCAGAAACGCGGTCGGAGCAAATCCCTAGCTACAGTTAATAACAGGGATTTGGCTTTTCTTCAGCGAAGTAATAAATGATTGAGATGATCGCCGGTCTTTATTGAAGGATCCCAACGGTGGTGACGGCAATAATGGCAGCGTGATCTTCATGAGACTCTAAAGCCAATCTCAGCAAAAGCTAAAAGCCGCACCACTACCTGACCTACCTAACTACGCTATCGTTTTTGCTCCCGTCGTCCTCTCAGATATATATATATATATATATATATATATATATAGATAGCTGAGACTAGATTTAAGTATTCGTAATAATTTATTATAATAAACGACAGGGTCGATAGTTTTTAAAAGCAACATCATATTAAATTCACCTATCACTAGAAGAACAAGCGTATAATGACCACTTATTTGACTACGGTTTCTAGTCGACACAGCCGAAAGGCAGTCTAAAAAGGGTTCAGCCGTGTCTGACTGATATGCTAGTCATAGGATGCCGTTTCCTGTACCCAAGTAGTACGCAGCTGTTGCTTCGGATGGCTGAGTCATGAATGAAGATTTTTACGGAACCCAACGTCTGAGAGACATGTTCGCTGTTTTGTGTCAGAGTCAATAAGCTTAGCAAACGTACGTGTGTCGCATTTACTATATGCACAAATCATTTAGACACACACTATGCACGCTAGAATCTCTTTTACCTTTAATAGGATACTTTTATTTAATTTTATTAAAGTAGCGTCTACTTCGCAAAACTATAATCACCTATTAGGAACCTCAGTTTTTTTTTTGCGAAAGCAAGTGGCCTAGACACCGCGTGTCTAATTTGTAACCTTAACCAAAAAATTCTATAAATTTACTATGAGAGAAGGTAGATTTCAGGCACATATGCGTAACGAGATGTGTTAGGGATGTATGCTCTTCCTTGAGGTGGAAAGTAAGTCCCATTTGATCCTGTTTAGGAAGCCAGAATCATTGCTTCAAAATCACCACACATTGGTATAGCCATCGTTGCCTGACCTCCAGCCACTGACCAAACAGCTGGCCAGGCACTCCACTATAAACAATCGTGATGATACTGCGGTGAGCTGCAGTAGCAGGTCATCGTATCGCTTCGTTAAACATACAACAAGTCAAATTTACTGCCAAGCCTAGCGTCTGCTCAGGCTAACTTGCAGCATCGTCCTCGCGCTATAATAGAAGTGCTTTATGATCTGCTAATGAAGATCGTAGAAACGGCCTGCCTCACTAGAGCTAACGACACTGTCGCTCCATATGCTTAAGCTGGCGACAAACCCTATATTCCCTTCAATTTGCCAAAATACCCCCGAAATGTCATTGTTGGGCGCCCGCATAATGTGTTGGCGAACTTTAAATAACGCTAACAATGGATATATTATCGCATCAGTTAGTTACTGCTTTGCAAATACCTGCTAGCCACCGGTTAGGTCCTGCACCTTATGCTGGAAGCAGTGGTTACTCGAGGAAAAATCAAGCGATACTAGGTACTAGCCAAGGTACGAATCGTTCTATTCGTAGTAGAAGTGACCCCGCAATTGCAGCTCTTCTCCTATCTTTTACACTTTGCATACCACTCTTCTTATAGTTAATGCTATGCCATCCTCCAGTTGTCAACGTCGTCTATTACTTCTTCTTAATAACGTGTCTCGTTGGTAACATTTTTATATGATAACTGTTTTTATTAAGCTAACAGCATGTAAGAGCGATAAAGGGCTGTCACATTGACAAAAGCTAGAAATAGAAGATGGCAAGACGCTGTTTCGATAAACGGCTTTACCATTAACGTCAATAAGCAGCCAAGTAACCCATTCAGATGGGTCGGAGAATGAACACTCAGTCAACAAAACGACGGTATAGTTTCGGCAACGGCAGTCAAGGCAAAAAAAAATGCTGCGACCAGCCGACCGCAGCCCCATACACCCAAAGGGATCAGACAACTGATCTTTATCCGTTCGAGCGTCTAAACTGCGACCGTAATAATCGCTGTTGCTGTTGCAGCTTTGGCCATTGTTGATCTTGGTTACCGTCGGGACGCTATCCCCCGGAGGTACGGCCCCCACTGACGGTCACGCTAGCACAGCCGAGCGACAAGTCGGCCAGTGCAGCAGTAGCAGCAGCAGTGGCCTCAGCTGCCGCAGGCCCCGCCATGGTCGCAAACTGCGACAAAAATAACCGCATTTGTATCAATCGCCAGAATGCTGCTTCCCGTGGCCAAGTTGATCAGGCAGACCGACCGAGAGCTCAAGGCAACGCCTCTCCTACTAAAACTCGAGCGTCGACGGCTAGCCAACCGCCCACCCATACGGCCACTATGCTGTCTCCTGCTTAACAGCAAGAGAGCTAAGTGCCATCCTGAGTGAGATCCTTCCAACTTACGCCAGGAAAGCGACGAAAGAGTCTGCGAAAGCTATAGGAAATGCGAATTGCTAGGAGAGCGAGAGATCGAAGCTAAGCCAAATTGATGAGCTGTCATTGCTGTTCGATACTATACAAAGTAGTGGGCGGTGCGGCCCAGTCTGGTGTTTTATCCTCAGACGACGATAGCCTCTAGGTGGACAGTGCCAATAAGCAGCTATAACAGCTACTACACTGAAGGCGCCTTTGACTGCAATACATAAAGCGAGCGGATATCTCGTTCGCTTTTGTTTTTTCGCAGTCCCGAAAAAATTGACCAGCAATCTTTGCTAAGTAGAACTGAAGCTTCTCGCATATTCGGCACTTTTCACCTGTACGCTGGATTTTACGTTTTAGTGGGTGGTCATGCATTAATGGTGGAAGATCGTAATCCATTAGAGTTACAATCAAATTTGTATTCACAGATTCTCATTAAGTAGAAATTTTGCCAACATACTGAAAAAAGCTTGCTGACAAAGTTACGCAGGAAGACTTCACCTTCAATAAAATACGCATTTTTCTTCGTCTTCGGCATTTGCTATAGACATTTGCATAAATGGTACTAAAAACCTTCGTTGACGAATGGGTTAATTAACAGCCTCACGCGCTATGAGGGCTATTTAGATCAGCTAGTTAGTTACTCGGAGTCCTTACTTAGAGAATTATATTTTCTCTATAGGCGAGAAAATAAAGCAAATACCGAATACCCACGAAGAGCTTTATTTCAGGTCCGTCAGCGGTTCGAGGTTTGTTTACCTACCTGAACTCTGGCTTCAGTCAGGTTGATCTTCATAGCTAAATCTTCCCTAGTAAACACGTCAGGATAATGGGTCTGGGCGAACGCGCGCTCGAGTTCTTCGAGCTGTTGAACAGTGAACGTGGTCCGATTCCTACGTTGTCCCCTTCTCACGAAGGCATCCTCATGCAGCTCGGACATAGCGCCGGGAAACGAAGTTGCAGCCGGGCTGTGGAAGTTGCTCGTCGATCCAGAGGACGTATCTTTTGTAGAGAAAGGCAGCAATCATGAGACGTAAATTCACCCATTAATTAACCAATTGATCACTCGATTTAACGTATAGAGAAATATCATTAGTCAAGTGCGATAGCTTCAATCTATGACAATAATCATTTTCTATCGTCAAACGTGTGCATCACATGACAAATGTTGAGTTATAGTAGTACTTTTGCTGTCGATCGATAGCACGGATAACAACAGAAACGGCGGAATGACTTACTCCATTGCATACAGCGGAGACAACGTATGAAATTCAAGAGTACCAGTATGTGGCAGGCCATTCGGCCAACTATACAGCCGAAGGCTGTACACCAAAGAGAAGCGACATTATATACAAGCAACAACGACACTTCGAACGAGGTTGACAGAAAGGGACAATCTGGCACGGATCGAACTTGGAGCGTTCCGGGCTGCCCCAAAGCCACTGGAGGCGCGGCACTTCTCCGTTGGATCCTCACGGTCTTACCCCTCCAAGCCCAATTTGTCCCCGCGGCCAAACTGGCGTTTCCACGGTGCCACTTCCTGTGTGCAACTCCACGACCAGCGGATGAGGGGCTGCCGCAGCAATAGTCGAACGAAGGAGGAACGCCTGCAATAGGAGCTGCGAAGCACGGTTGAGGGAGTTCGAGGGGAAATCCTAGGGTGTATGGGTAGTAGTAGTAGTAGTAGTGATGTTGGTGGTGTGGTGGTAATGCCAATACGAATTGGCAACGAGGCGACTCCTGCCGCTGGTTGCTTCACCAGTCGCTAGCGAAGAAGGTTGCGCCTGCGGCCGCAAAAAACAGCGGAGGCGCAAAGTCGGTAGCGGCCCCGCAAGCAGGGGAGCGGAGAAGGCAACGAAACTCTCTGCAAGGCTGTACTGCTACACCATTTTCAACACTACAGCCACCGTCAGCTGCAGCGCCGTGTCTCTGTTCGACTTATTCCTTGTTCCCTTGTTGTTTCCACAGAAGTAGCAGCTGCGGCACGAGCGCATCCAAATGGCAACGAGCGGGAGAAAGCGACAACCACGACAATCCAGGACTACACCGGGGGCGGGCAGGCCACTGCCGAAGGCAGCACAAGGACTGGCCTGGCAGCATTGACTTGAAGACTAAGGGAAAGATGCAGAAAAGGAAGACGACGAGAAACGGCGCAGTCCCGAATCCACACGTACTCATTCGTGTAGACACTCACATCGAGACACACATCCACGCAGTCCACACCCTATCCGAAAGCCACCAATCCGAAATCCCCGCCCTACCCGGTGTACAGTGGACCCCTCGCGCACAAATCGAATCCTCTCCGTCTGGAATCGCGCGGCGGCCAGGGAACGAACGCCGGCTGCGTCAAGTCCCAAAGCCCCGATAATCAGTCCACGAAAGATTCCAAGGCAACGCTACTTCTTATCGTGTGTCTCGCATCGATGTCGACGTTTTGTATGAAAGCTGCCGGGAAAGACTCTGAGGAGGCGGAGTGCAAGACTATAGTAGGAGCGAGGGTTCGTCATCGAGCATCCTTTAGGTGGTCCTACACCAAAACGCACCATCTGAGATGCAGGGCTTTGAAGTAAGATGTGAATATACCTCTATCGACTGACTGAGTCAAAATTCGACATGTTAACAGAACTTAAGAGGCATATTTTTTAGATCTGCTACTGAACATACGAGACAATATCGAATTTGGAAAACAACTTGGACAAGGACGTAAGAAAAAAATCACCTTATGATATTAAGTTGAAAACTAGTGGTCGTTGGCCTAAAAGGTTGGAAAGAATAATGATGCGACGAGGAACTCATCGTCCATTTTCTCCCGCTATATGCTCGCTGGGGTATAGCGGAAGAAAAATAAGTGGACAAGCTACCAAATAAGTATCATATTCGTTAACGGTCGTTATTGACGTTGGCGGGAAATGTCTCTGATGGTAGACAAAGGAGAGACATTAAAAGCATTTGAACTGTCGACCAATAGGAAGACATATGGTTGTTCAATGAAGTAAATAGCGAGATAATATATAAACTAACGGGAGTAACCAGCCCCAGAACGCAACGGCTGCGTTCATAGATGCAATCTAAGTCGCTTCTGTTAGAAAAACATTCTTTATTCTATCGGGCTATCGCGTTTCGAGGTATCCTCGAAAACAACTTGTGCTTGCTTTAATGTGATATACGTAAAGAGCGATCCTAGCTCAAAAGATTTTTAAGAGCGTATTCTCGTATCGTTGAGAGGACAGTTTCGAGGCAAATTCGAGTTCAATTTAACAAATGCTAAGGAGTCCCATAGCATGCCAGACCTTATTATAGTTCACCTCAAGGTTGGATTCTAATTGTATTAAATAAATGTATCCTTAACGGCCTTAATGGGTACGAACGGTAACAGCCAGTAACACAGATTGGATTCAACGAGTCTTATGTATTCTATTAGGGAAATTACGTTATTGAATATAACGATAAGGCTTGACTTAATTGTCTAATGACTTGGACAGACATTCAAAGCTTGAATTATTCTAAAAAAAAGATGGCGGAACCGCGATTATTATTTAGCTTTATTCGTAGAAAATTCAGTGCTTCAACCACCTACAGCTAATCACGCAAGAGATCTACGGCCGTTCTGTTGGTGCGCTTTGATGAGGTTCGCGATCGATTCCCTAACCGCTAAATTGTCACGGCTGTAGTAGTCATTTAGAAACTAGGCCTAACGATTGGACAGGCCAACATTGAATTACTCGGCCCTTCTAAGAGGTAGGCACAGGCAGGTATAGCTTGGGACAAAACCGTCCTTGCGAGCTCCGGCAGCATTTCACACCTCAAAAATGCACCGTAAAACTACTCATAACATCCTCCATTTACGAAACAGATTCGTTATTATCGTTACTACTGCGTCGTCTAAACAACTGATACATTGATATAAACTAACGTTGATAATAACGCTTCACTATCTAAGTTGGTGCTGTCAAATTCAGGATTTATATAGCTGTTAGATAGGTTCTACAATAAGCTGAACCTGAGCATACTGATTCATAGCCTAACTTAAATTTCCGGCTTTCTGTTGCTTTCTATACTTATATACGGAAAATATAGGCACGGGATAAAAATACGAAGTTACTTCATTGACGCCCTATTTAGTAAGCCATATCCGACATAGTCTACTACGCGTATCATCTTTTTAGGGCTATAGTCATGATGCACAGCTTTCAGTTCAACAAGACTTTGTTAATTAACTAAAAGTCTATGGGGACTATCAATAGAAATATCTTTAAGAGTAGAAATAATGCTACTTTAGAACGATGCGAAAATAAATAGATAAAATGTGATCCTCGGTTGAATGTGGACTAAACCGTGTGTAGAGTGTAACTTTATGCTAAATTGCAATTAACTTATCTGTAACGGCTGCACCGACTCTACTACCCTCAATTGCTAGGACTCATTTCGAGGTGCTGCTTGAAGTGCTGTCGACACACTTCCTTTATAGCAGTCAAGATTTGACATTCACGTAGTGTACACGATGCTGACACAATGGCTATACATTGTGGCAATTTCCTTGGCTTTTTGCCGTCTTTTTATTTTCAACAGAGTTCTCTTCGGTCCCGGGTGATGTATCTAGTTTCCGATCGTAGCATGTCTTGTCCTATAGAGAACATGAGGACTATGCATCGACCAAGTATGTTGCAAACAAGACGAGGACGACCAAATTCGCTTATCTAGATTTCGTCGCGTACGTGTCGCGACGCAGTCGGGTCATGTGCCGCTTGCTATGGCTAGTGCTTTTCTAGTTCGCTCATTTAATAGTACACGATCAAGGCAAGCTTCGTCTTGTCAGATAACCCCCGACCCCTTCGGCATTTGAGATTTGATTCATTAAAGAATCACATCGCTCCAGCACACATCCACCTATTTACTTCGTGCTTTGCTAGATGGCCGCGGAAGTCAGTCTTGTGCCTTCTTCCAAATAACCGGTAGTCAAGCGCTCCCGGTCCCCTAACAGCATGTGCACTGTGTCCTGTTTACCCCAACAAACATGGAAGAAACAAACCCCCGTTTCGTGTTCCCTTGTCTCGTGCTTTATCGGGAGTGTTTTGTTTGTTTTGTTAACAATGAAATGCCTCGCAAGAACTTTTGCGTTTCAACGTCACCGAGTTGCGCACCTTCTACAGAATTTTATACAGCATTAACAATCCGGCCGCACTTTCGGTGGCAGCTGTTGGTGACTACGCGTACTTGTATCTATCTATTTGTCGTTATTGTTGCTCATTTAGTCTTTGGTTCTCGTTTTTGAAGGCGACGAATGCAGCCTCTACAGATTTCTTTTCTCCTTGAAGTATTTCTATTGAAGATCCTCTTAAAGCGACACATAACAATCTTCATGGTATCTTTTCATGATCCGGAGCAGCTCGTACGCGCAGGCCAAAACATTGTGTTTGTTCGCCTAGCGCCTACTTCCACGGAAGCCATGGTTACTATAGACATTATAGTGAGATGCCAATAGCAACAACAACAACAGTAACTTGCCGTCACAGTAAAAGTCCTGCCAATTTCATTGGGCCGGTGCGGGCTGCGGAAGTAGCTGAAAGGTGCGAACCGGCCAAACAAAAGAAAAAAAAAGTTGGGCGGCAAGTATCTTTCGCATGCGGACCACGTCGTCCTGTGTGGGACGGTCACGGCAACGACTATCAGCGGTGGTCACGACGCTACCCAGCCAAACCCGCCATTATTTCCGTTAGCTTGCAACGAGCTAGCTGCTGCTGCTGTAATTGTTAGCAGAAATATAGCACAAGATCTTGATGCTGGCAAATATTACGTTAACACCTGAATCCTGCCAGAGGATATAAAGCAGACTCCGGCAGTCATCTGTTACCCTAATGTAATATAGTTGACCAATTTAGACTTTCTGCTTCAATCGGGATGAAATCAAAATCGTTTAGGGACAATCATGGACGTTTGGCATCCCTAGTTTCTATTTTAATCCCATGATATGTATCCGAATCAATTTGGTTTTGTTCTAGTAGATTCGTTAGCAAAAATATTATTTACATTTTTTATAAAAAACAGTGCTTCAGCTATGACAGATCTAATCAACACACAATATACGGGAACTCTTTAGTCGCTTACTATCAATGGATGCTAGTTTAAATAAGAAAAATTTCGATTTGAATATGTACCTCACCGTTTTTTTCGTTATGAGGTCAATTAACCCCTTGTCAATGAATTGCTATGGCATATAATGGGTGACCTGTTCAAAGGCAGCCGGTTCACTTGATTAGGAAAATTCATCATTAGAATACAAATACCAGTTAACTAAGCTAACTTGAAATATTAAGGTAAGTTTTGACCCTGAATGAATGCCCCCTTCGGGCTAAAGGAAGCCAAGCGATGTTACGTCATTCGAAACTTGTACTTTCTATGAGAACGTACATAGATCATATAGTACTGAGGTATCAGAGGTTGCTTGTCACTTTGCTCTTTAGCAGCTTCAGCAAACCTTGGCTTTCGATAAGCTCAAAGTGGAGCCAAGACCAGAGTCTTACATTCGTCATCTAGTCATAAGTGAATGTTTGTTATCTGCGTTGCAGTTGTAACCTGCTAACTTAGATAATATTAACAAACTGTGCCATCGGCGAACACTTAATTGTAATTACGTGTATCTATCCGCCTAGCCTTAACCCAGGGCAGACATCTACTGCAAAATAACACAATGGAAGAATCTAATAATAAAAGAGACAGACAGACAGACAAGCGTCGCATTGCACTTACAAAGCGTAGCGGCCGTTGGTGGCGTCGTGGTAGACGTAGGAGCAGACGAAACTACTGTGGCTGCTTGGGCTGCAGCGTAGAATGGTAGAGTTGCTGGATGGGGCGCGCCGCGCACTCCTGGCACCCCCGGGACCCCTGGCAGGGGGCAGTGATAACAGAACATCGATGATGGAGACTATAATAGCGAAGGAAATCCAAAAATAACATAAGACACGAGTTAACACACAAACTTTTTCTGGCAAAACGCATTAGTTTTTATTGGTTGTCTTCCAAAATTATATTTTACAACTGCTCGAATCTGGTCCATTTCGATATATATGTATATATATATATATATATATAGAGAGAGAGAGAGAGAGAGAGAGAGAGAGAGAGAGAGAGAGGGAAAACGAGCCGATTACATTGAATAGTGTTGACAGTCTTTAGAATGTCTAACAAATACTAGCTTACGGTAGGCCAAAGTTCGGTCACTGCTTATCTGGTTGTAGGACCTATTACAACCTAAACTTAGAGCAAGGACAGTCTGGCAATGTTTTCTTCAGCCTCTTGAAAAGTTAGAAATAATATATCAACCAACACGACGCTGATTTCTCGTACCTCTCCAATATTTGGTTAAAGCCGGTGGAAACTACATAAAAATTTTCATTCACCGCGGTCTTTATTGTTCTGCCAAGAAATCCACTCAATTTGACTCCCTACTATTTTTCTTGAAGCCGGAATACTCGAACTATGAATATAAGCTCCGTTCTTCCCTGAACCCGCTGCTGCTGCTGCTGCCCCGACTTCGTTTATTCCCTCATTATCCTCCAGGCGTCATCGGCTGCAAGCCGCCCGGCCAAGCAATTCCCACCGGTGGATAAAAAGATATAATTTGGCCAATTGTTTATTATCTAATTCTATTCCCAAATCCCACCGGCTTCATGCCTCTCTTCACCCGTTCGTCGCCTCCTGCTTTTCCTCCCTGGCTTGCCTTCAACCATTCGTTCGTTCTCTACAGCCAATCTCTATACCAACGGCCGTTCTTCTCGTCCACCTCCGATCTCTGTGGGGCATTCTCGTTCACGTGCGTCACGAAGCCGACAACACTGCCGGTACAATAGTGCTAGCTAGAGCTAAGGAGTCGGTTGTTTCTTTTTTTGCTACTTTAGCTACTAGTGTAACTAGTCACTGTTATTCTTCACCGGTGGACTCTTCCACGGAAGTAGCTGCAACAGTGCGAATGAACGCGCAGGGAGAGACGGCTTGTGGCAGTTGCATTGATGGTGTCTGTCACGGTTATACCGGTCGGGGAGTGCCGCTACTTATTCGCTAGCTCCTCACTGACTAATGGAGGAAAATTGACGGTAGTAGCTGGTGGCCGAAATTCGTCTGTCTTAATACAACGGTCCAACCTAGTAGACCGTCAAACAACCGCCCGGCTTACAGTACAGTGATCCCTTCGTGGTAGGCAAAATAGAACGATTTGAGAGGATGGGGACGGTGCTCAATAATGACGAGAATGTGTTACTGTTTAGTGGCAATATTGAAACACGGTGAAGCTTAAGGAAGATCTGCCCTAGAAGCCTGGAGCTTTTGCTACCGATGGTCGAAGAAAGCTAAACATGTCTTTACTGTTTCCTGGAAGACGCAGTATCTAAGGGGCATGTGAGGCAATCCGAAGACTCGGTAGACGACTGTTTGGAAAAAGGGAGATGAAGATGCACTTGAAGAGAGAAACTGAGGTTGGTACCCTACCGTAGGTAAAGCGTCCATTCTGACATCCGGTTGCGTGCGACACCAGTGGAAGCTCAACCGGGTCGTATTCTTATTTAGCTATATTATAGTTTACCGTTTACACTACGTCCTTTTCCCCTTTTCTTCGATTATTCATTCTTTTCATCTCGAAAGCTGGTGATATCTCAGCACTTCCATCATCCAGCTTTTCCGGCGGAAATAGTATCGTCTTCGTTTTCACACTCCAGATTCCCAGCCTCCTACCTTACGACTACCTCTACGGCCGCTTGCCACTGAGATAATAATTGCGTCGCTCTAGTTAAGTATGCCTTTTCGTCCGACCCTCCTCTCCCGAATAGAAGGGGTAGAGGGGCGACGCAAGAGGGGAAAAGCAGACGTCGTTGGGATGCTGCTCGCCGCTGGCGGTAGAAACAACAGAAGAGTGGCATGAACGCACGGAAAATAACTTTTGGGACGACGACGCGAATGGGTGGGCTGGTAGGCCTAGATAGCATTCGTTGCTAGTTTTGGGCCGGTTCTGCTCTAGTTAGGCCAAGAAGCCATACATGCTATACCCGTACTGCTGTAGCGTACCCACAAGCACAACAACGCAAGGACGCAATAAGCACCGCCATTTCTGTTCTTTTACACATTGTCTGTCGTAGAAGGATCCAAAAGCTGACAAACTATTAAATCGCCTTGAGCTTTTGTTTTTAACAGCAATGATACCTACTAATTATATGATTGTAATTTATTTTCATTTCAAGTTGATTGAAAAGCGAGAGCGCGAGAGAGAGAGAGAGAGAGAAATAGGATCAATGAATGTCCATGTTTGGGTTTACGAGCTCATGAGTGACTGCTAGGCAGTGCAGAGTCGCACTATCTGCACCAGTTATCTCCTAATTCTACGTTAATTGCTAAATAGTTTCGATGTAGTATAAAGGAACAGCGCAGGTTTACGCCAGATGAACTTTATCACTATCTCAACATTTGATTGCGTCGCTCAGCTCACCTCAACGTAGTTGACGTCAATTCTGTTCTATACGTATAAATATGAACAATAGAAGTATCCTACACAAAGGTACGAAAACAAAGCTGGTTACTACGGCGCACGTTGCTCAACTGCTTTGATTAACCAAAGGAGTGAGCAAAAGGAACGCGTGTCTTAAAACAGACTAGTGAATGGTCGCATGATGACCATACATAGAGAGATTAATAAGTATAGCTATAATTTTTGCGTACTTTTGCATATTATGTAAGGTGTAGCTCGTATATAAACTGTTAATACTCTCTCTAATAAGGATGAGGCCTACAGCGTACGTTGCGACTTTATATAATCAGATCTTCAGAGAGCCTCATTACGGGCTTGGAAAATTGGCATAGATAATCGTACATGCCTAAATATTTAGTCCATGTAGCTTATGTTTCATAGGCTAAGAAAAGCACTGAATATGCCATATTGTATTGTGGACAACCTTTTAGCAGATATATTCTATCGAAATACTTGTGGACGCCTTGATGAACTTCAGCCTCACAGAGTAAGATCGTGTAAGTAGCTATGTTGGCTAGCATTTAGTGATTGATTTTTTAACAGAATACTTACCTTTTGCCTATTGAAGATCTGAATAAGTCGACTATGTAGACCATACACATCTATCGGTTAGTTACATCGTCTTCTTGTTACGTCGTCTGCAAAACCTACCATGACTGTTTGACGATATACCTGATCAAACAATACTACAAATAGATAAGACAGATCCTAATTCAAATGTTACTCGATCTCTAGCGTCCCTCCAATGCTAACAACAACCAAAATTTCAATCGAGCGACCCACGTCCCCTGCTTCATAATTGATGATGATATAACGAAGAGACACAAATGTTTTTGTCTCAGAAAAGACACTTTCATGGTATAAAGCCCGCATCCGAAATGCTGTGAGTTAATTACGTCAGGAATTTTGTTCTGCTAACGAGAGAGGCGTTAGCGGCCGTCTGAATGTTTTAAGGCGCCGTGTTCCCCCTTCGAGTCTGCAAGACGGCAAACATTTACAAAGAAACCGGTCCACTGCAGAAGCGTAAAGCTCCCGCAGGACCCCACCGTGAGTACTTGCTCGCCTGTTTTACCGCCTACAAAGCTCCCCGAATCTTCCAAATGCGCTACCCGCGAGAAACGCATCATCTCCTTTACGAGACGAAGGTGACATTTCCTGCCACCGGCTGCTGGGAGAAAAGGGCGCGTAGTGCCGAAAATAAAAAAATAATAATAACAGTAATAGTGGCAACATAAAGGCAAGTAGCAACAGCGTCGTAACAGGACCAGTCAGCGACCACGACCGCTAGGGCCATTGCGTTAAATTCTGCGGCTACTACCGCCTGATATCTGCCACCTCGTGCCCCTAGTTTCCTGTTCTCTCTTCCGCAAATGCGATTAGAGTGTAATTATTATTGTTTTAGTAATAAGGCGAAGTGTCAGAGGTAGATTTAATATTCCCGCTTTATTTATTCTTCGTTGTTTTCCCAGTGGCGGGTGGCCAATGTCTCTCTCGCTGCTGTCTGATTTGATTAGAGGCATATTTGATGGCTGCGCCCGTCCGACGCCCTGTCGTCCCGCTTCATCCCTAGAACTTGCAGGACCAAGCGGCCAACTCTGTCTTCCTGACATTGCTGACACCACCATCACTGGTCGCTCGGTTCCCTTGGTGCGATCCCTCAGCAAAGCCTCGGGTCCACAGTGTCTCGGCGCCCTCGTCTCATCGCGCGCTACATAGCCCCCTACTACGACGGCAGCTGTTCGTTCGGGCTGGCGTTAAACCAGACCAGCCAGTTCGAAGGCATCGGTACCAGTAACGGCTCTCTTAAACTCGCTGTAAACTCCCTCTTTTCGCGCCCACTAACTGCTACGGTCATAACACGACAAGCAAAATCTTTCCCATAGCAGACTCAGCAGACAATTGACTGACAGGTAAGATGCCATCAGGGCAAGAAGACGACGAAGGAGAACATCAGACGCAGAACTCCCACTGAAAAGATTGTCGCCAGCTTTGTGTTCGGATGAAAGGCGTGCATCGAGAGATGGATGGATGTATGGACTAGTCGGGCACTGACACGGAGCTGTCGTTGAGATATGTAGATTGAGAGGCAAAGCTACTAAAACCCGCAGAAGGTAAAAGAGTGAGCTCACAGCTTCAGTCTTTCCCTTGCTTGTTTTCTCTCGGTAGTCCCCATAAAAATGGACCACATGAGCATCTGAGAATGTAGCTGGAGTGGGGCAGGTAGAACAGGAGGAGCGATGAGTCGGAAAAAAACCACTGTCGTTAGACACAAACGTACTCAAGCTACTACAGCAAAAGAGAAAACTTCGACGGATCGATGCGAAAGAGCTGGTGCAGAGGGGCAGGGGCACCGCTAAGCTTGGTCGATTTGCGTTGTCGAGGAGTAGAAAAGAAAAAAGATTGGGAAGCAG